TGTTACAAAAAGGGAAACTTTTGTTTCAGCGTTGAAAAAATTTGTGCATTTGAGGACAGCGTAATACTTTTTAAAATACAGGACAAGTAAAAAAATTATTTTCACACAATCGTAATTTTATGCCAACAGGTCTCAGACCAAATGATTTTTAGCGTGTATTAACGAGTGTTTCAAGTGTTAGGCACGACGCTTGGGCGGCGCTTCCTTCACGAATCTGGTACTCAATTTTGTATGGAGCGCTAGCGGGCAAAAGGACTGCGGCAAATGACAGTGGGCGCAGATCAACGGTGATTTCCAGATTCTGCCTGCCTGATTCCACCGGACATTTGATTCCTTGACCACATTTGATCAGATTATTCCTGAAACACTGCTTTTATGAGCTGGCTGATACCGTGAAGCCCAAGAGGAAATAGATTGCTATTATCAACACAGTGGTTTACTTTTACTAACTGTGCTTGTGAAAAGTGTGTCAATGCTTAGGAAAGAAGCAAGCGTTTCTGGCAAATCCAAGTATAGTTTTGAGCCGATGTAATTTGCTAGCTCAAAATTATACTCCATAGTCAATTAGTATTTTTCCTTAAAATTTGGTTTACGCAAAGATCAGGGGCCTACAAATTTTTGGAATGGTACCACCCGCCCCAGAGAGACCCTTTTCGAAATCGAACCAATCCTTTTTCACATTCGAAGGCAAAAACCTTGGACTACACTACCAACACTCGTGCTCCGCGCACCAGTTGAGCAGATATTTGACTTCTACGAATACGAATAACATTTATTTCACCCGGCACTACTGATGTTGCTACGATATGCAGCGATTTTTTGCTGGCTTTTGGCAGGACTTCCGAGATTCTATTGTTACTGCTATAGTCACAGTTGCAAAGAAGACCAGCCCGCCCTTCCCCATAATATAAATCAGTATTGAAATGTACCAACATACAATTTTAAACCTTCTAGGAAAGAGTTACCACTTACGAAGTTGTAAATAAGCTAACTAGCTTCTTCAGCCTTTTTGCAGCTGCACTGCAAAAAAAAGGGCAACTTACAAAGCGCCGAGTGTCGGAACTTCCCTCCAAACGCAATCACTCCCCTGTTGCACCCACTGCCATAATTTCACACTTGTAGTCAGGTTATTCAGAGGGCCATCTGTATTGTTAATCAGGGCATTCACAACGAAAGGTTGCTGAAGTCGAATTGGGTAGATGTCTTTTCCTGAAAATGAAGAAGCAACTAAAATCAAGAACGCAGCAGAGATTTTGCTTTCAAAGTCAATAAATTCTGGATTCTAGAAATATTTTTTTTTTATTTTGCTTCCTATTTTTTATTTTGCTCTTATTCTGTTTATAGTAAACTAAATTCCTGAGAACTAGTTCAGCGCCACTT